GGGGTTCCAAGAGTTTCGAGGATTTTGGGGGGATATCAGCGGTCTTCAGGGTTTCCGGAGGTATTCAGGATCCTGGCTCATTTGCGGCGATTCCAGAGTTATCGAAGTGAGCTATTGTGGATGACCAAGATTTCTGGAAATTGTCGACGGTTTTGGTCTCAAAATCTTCAAGATTTTCACGATTTACGTACATATATACATCATGATCATGTAGATCATGATATTCCCTAAAAAACTTTGAACTTCACAGAACTTTTGAACAATCGACACCTCCGAAACATATATTTTAATTCCTGTGAATCTTTCTTGAAAGTTCGTAAATCAATTTCTGAAATTACTAAAAATCCTGACCATTATTGTTGCCAAAATACTGTATAAAAGCATAGAAACATACTTTAAAGGTATTGTTGTTAGATTTTCTTGTATGTTGGAGGAATATCCGTATATTATTTGGAGGAACTTCCTGAGGAACTCCAGAACATCTCAGGATCCCTTATACTCTATATACCGGAACATTCGTTTATACAGGGAATTTAGAAATCCCCCGAGATGTTTTGAATCTCCTTGGAACCAGCGAGATCTTCGATATTCACGGGGCCGCCTGAAACTTCTAAACTCGTTGAGACCTGCGAAACATCGCGGGATCTCCAAAACCCTTGATACCAGAAATCCTCAGAACTAGAGGAACCCTTCGGTACGACCACAAACCCTCGAAATTCTCGAGACGAGTATCGGAGATCTCGTTGATAGGTTTTATGGATTAAGGTAATTTTATCAAGTACAACAAAAGTACAGCAATTTACTTCTTGCGGTTTAGGATTTCGTGGTTATACAGTTGTAGATTTAGCGCGTGACGCAATTTTCACGAGTCAAAGATACATGCAATCAATTACGAAAATCTGCTAACTTTTGTTCAAGAGAAATGAATATTTTCAACGTTTTATATTTGTCTATTGGAAAACATAAAGAAATTGGAACATAGTTTAATGTACAATTGTCGTAGGCACATTGAAATGTACAAAATATATTTTTGTTATTATTATATTTTACATACGCACGTGTAAAATCGTGTAATGTCGACTTGTTGTTTTCTCAAACAAATCTGACAGAAATGGCGAATATTTCGAACATGGTTTAATTTTGAGAAATTAATTAAGATCCATAAAATGTCGAAAACCCTTTCCTTTCTCTTTCAAGCATTTGAAATTTGACAGATGTATGCGGACTTCTGTCGCAGACTGTATGTCTGACTATACGCGGAACATTCCACTTAAAATAATTAAATGGTTGTTTAAGAGACGGTCTATAAATGGACAGACATCATTAAAGGAACGTATTAGTGCATTCGTCTGAACCTTATTTAACGAAAGAAGAGAGAAGGATCGCTCTTTCTGACATCTAAAATTAATTGTATGCTTTGCAATTCTTAACTATCAAAGTGCATTATACATTATACACTTTTTATTTTTAACATTCAATCAGTATTTCTCGTGGGTCATGAAATTTTTAAATTCTGTAATGTATACAAATATTTTGCCGTTGAAAATATATAATCATTATGCATAATATATGTATAATAAAAACTACAGTCGTAATAAGTAAATAAAATAAAACATGATAATACATACAGTGAAATGAAATAAAATGCTATCTACTAAAATATAGTAATATCTCTCTCTCTCTCACTATCTCTCGATTCTGAACGTACAGCAATTAGATTGAAAGCTTGTTTCAGAATCTCGATTCCAGATTCTTAGATTCTAGACACTGGGTTCTTAGTTTCTAGGATTCTTAGATCTCTCTTTCTGTCTAAGAAGCGGAATCCCGCCTTTGATGCGAACCTTCATAGAGTGGTAAAAGTGCAAGGTAGTGCTAATTGAGCAGGGACTCAATTATCAAGCCTCCCTCTGTTTTGCCGAGGCGACACACGTACAACAGGGACCACCCGTGGATCTGGTTCTCCAACGTCTTCTCGTGGTTTCACTTCGCGAATCGATTCCTTCTCCTTGGATTTTTCTTATTCTCCTATCGTTCTTCTATCGTTGTTATGGATTGTGCGCTGATCAAATTGTAAATGTAACGTTGATGGATTCTTCTCTGTTGTAATTGGCCTAAATGCTGCTCCTTCGCAGTAGGACAATTGATGAGACGATCTACTTTGTTGGACTTGGAGATGATCCAGCTCGTAATTTAAAACACAGCGTCTTTTCTAATGTTGAAACTAAGATCAATATTAGAACTTCGAGGATTATGTCGCATTAAAATTTTAACTATATGAACTCGTCGGAGGATAAATGTAATTGAGGTTTGCACAATTGTATTCCGTTGATTCTTTCATTACCTACGATTTTTCGTTTCCGTAACAGTAGCTCACGTTCGAGTAAGTAGATTCACTTAATTGAACGTTAATTAAAATTTCACTCAAATAAGTGGAATTCATACAAACGAAGTTCCATTACATTCCGTATTACGTACCATACGGAAGTCAAATTAATGAACTTTGTAAAGGATAATGGTTTAGTTTCTGAACAGTTAATAGACTGCGAATTTTAATACATTTACCGGTACTGTACAGAAATTGTAGAAAATGTAAGTATAATTTACTTCAGTGTTAATCGTTTTGAGCTAACTCTTTACGTGCAATATAATTTTAATGTATGTAACGATATTATTTTTATAAAATGAGTATTTCTGCTATGAAGCAATGAATGCTTCAAGCAATAAGTCTTACCAAGTACAAGATTTTTACATGTTCATTTCCTGAAACTGTGTAATTCTAGATGTGTATGGTATATCCATAGAAAAATTAATAGATTTAGTAGATAGAAACAAATTGCTGCTTATCTTTATCTTCGTGGATTTTACATAAATTTACATAAATCTACTGATTATTATACTACTCCGATATCAAAGTAAACCGATTCTCTGGTAGAGTTGATTTAATTTGGTTTTCAAAGTGATAGTTGGAGCACCTATTATAACATTTAGCAGGCAAAACAAATATTGATCTAGCGTCTACTCTTATATATTCAATAGAAATATAGATAGAAATATAAATTTATGCAAATGCTGACGAGGTCGTTATTGCACTTCGTATAGTCAAAGCGAAGAAATTGTTCGATGGTGTCGATCAATTTGCCTTCGAAGTTTCATGTTCATGACGATGGCGGACGATTTTTGGCGGTTTTTGCTTTCAGTACGTGACCGTGTAACGATCGATGGTTTTATCGGATCCAGGGACAATAGTGGGAACGAAATTGGAAAGGAATGATAGTTCGCGTTTCGGGAACGCGAACGAACGGCGTGCGTGTGGCGAGGAATGGAAAGAGGAGACGAGATATATCTTGGGAGAGATTGATGACTGGTGCGATCGACGCCGTCTAGATGAACGTTGGTATTTTGTATTGTATATTGAGCCACTCGGGCTATTTATTTCCGAATGATCGGGCTATCTTCGAGCTTTGACGACATGATTTATTATGGTCCCGTGGAACATGCTCGATTATCGATGGGCCACATTCAGTTTCAGTGTCGCGTCGAATGTTTGTGATAATTTTTCATACATTTTACATTTGTAATATTATAATTCTTTTTTTTTTAAGAAATTTTTGTTAGCGATATGAATTAATGTTAGGTTGAGGATTGTACAATAATACTAATTTAAAAAATGGAACCTAAATAGAAATTCTTTTTTATATACTACACTCTACTTTGGATATTTTATATATTTTTTCACGCAGATGCATGAAAATTTGCATTTATCATTATTGTTTCGTTATCGGAATGTAAATTTTTATTATTAATAGGAAAAATTGTATTTGAGACTTCATAATCTTCATCATAAATCTACGGTTATAGATTTTGTAATAATTTTGTAATAATTTCACTCGTTATTTGATTAATATTTCATTATGCAATGGCCACAAAAAAGTATTTGCACGCGTCTTCGTTTCCAAATCTTTTGTCAGGGTTTACATTTCGTTTTTGTAGCATGAAATTTTTCTAGTGATGAAAATTTTCCAGTGATTTCTTACAATCAAATGATACAAAATTTGATACACTTTAATTTAATTGGTTGCAACATTTATTTACAAATACTTTTTGTGGCTATTAATTGTATAAGATGTTCAGAAGCCAATTAATGAAAGTCACTTCCTGCTAAAAACAACTTATGCCAATTTATATCAAAATATCCTTAAAATGTAACAAATATATAAGTAGGAAGAATTACTACGCGTAGATTGTCACATCAGTATCGGTAAGCGTGGACGATTGTGTAGTATATGTTGAATATTATTACCGAGACACGCAGTTTCCTCAGAAATACAAAAACGAAAACGTTAAATATTGGCCACAGCTCCGAAGCAGATAAGATTGAACTGGCCCGTGCGTTTAGGAAGTTATCGAGAGCGTAACATTCGTGTGCAATACAGTCGGTTAAATGCGTATTTGTAACATTTGTAAAAATGAGACTCGCGGGGAAAAGTGAAATCCAGCTGAAACACACGCGATATCGAAATTAGACGAAGCGATAGCGAATTTTACCAAGAGATGTAACGAATAGCGTAACATGAATCTTATCACAATACAGTCGTTACTATCGTAAAGTGGCATAATATCTGAATATCGTTATTAATATACAGATAAACATTGCACGCTCTACATAAACTGAAAGTCTTGACAAATGTGCGAGTTTTATGGAACATGCGACTTCTTCTGTTTCCTGAGGTCCTGACACGTAACGATAATTGGAAGAGTTGAAAAATTTACAGAATTCTCGGCTTCTCATTGAATTTGACGTAATTTAAATTTACACTCGTGGCACGCATTCGCCGCGAAGTTTCGCGTTCTAAAAATGACGGAAAGCGGGGGCGGAGGGGGGGGCGGAGGGGGGCGAGAAAGTAGCGAGAAACTTAAGAAAGTAATTTTCACCAGCCTGCGCGCTCGAAAGTATATAAACTTGGGAGTAAATTTTTTGCTTCGATGTGTTTTCAGGCGATTGCCACGAGCTTCCATGAAGACACCGCACCACGACGACCATGAAGACTGATTGCCTGCCAATAATTGCCAAGTTCTGCGCGCTGCTGACGCTGTTCGGGCCCGGCATCGATGTTCGAGCACTCGATATACGTGAGTAGATTGACACTTCTACCTTTCGTTCCTTTTTTTTCTCTCTCTCTTTTCATCTCTGTTCTATACACACGGCTCGATCAAAAAGTGGAGGATGACTCTACGTGAAAAGAAGTAAGTTATTCTCGAATGTTCTCGTTTGAGCTTACGATCGTCAAACATTTGCGTATCTTTAAATTTCAATTAACAAACTTTTACAATCAGTTGTTATCCTTGTACAACAATTTATATTCCAACGAATAAGAAGGAGTTACACTTTCTACAAGAAGATGTCTAACATAAAATTTAGAGATCTTTTATATTTTATTTACTCTCGAAATGTTCTTTAACGTTTTACGAGGAATGTAAATCGGAAAATAACATCGTAACAGACTTTATCATTTTCGAAATTTTTATTTGTCTGTATATATATTTCCATGAGCGACTAGAATAAAAATTCGTAGTCACATGGTTTAGATATTTCACGTAGAATCATCTTCGTTCCGGTCGTTTCGTCGAATGAGAAACAACCCGCAGTTTTCTCTTCCCTTCCTTTTTGTTCTGAATTTTTTAAACGATCCCCGGGCAAATTGCACTCGCGCACACTTTACCGACAATTTACTGCACGCTACTATTTGCGATTATTAATTAGACAAATTCCACACGCACGCCAGAGAATACGCTATACACACCAGCCGGTATCCGTGTTTTATTCAGGTTTCAATCATTTCGCTACGCTCTATGTATAGTTGGCGAATTTTAATAGACCATGAATATGAAAGCGACGGTCGCGTGGATACAAATTTCATTTTAAACGACACGGTTTTCCTCGCCGTTTCGCGGTGCCGCGAAACACATTATCTTTGACAATATCTATTAAATGTCGTGAAATTTGATACCGGATTCAATTATTACGCCAGATTTGACCAACCGTGTTTCATCCGTTCATCCTCTACCCCATATCAATATGCTGGATTTCATCAGTTGCCGAATTGTGCAACGATTTTAGCACTGATGAAGTGTAATTCGCGTTTGATCGACGAATGTCCAAGCGTTTCACTGAAAAATCGCACGTGATTCTCCAGAAGAATTCACTTTCTTGCGTCTCGTGCAACGATTTCACGGGGCTTTTGAATTTATTGGTCGATACACGTAGAGTAGCTGTGCAAAAAAATTTTAGACAACTGTCTTTCTGATAGATGATATTTTAAAAGCTTCGCAAAAGAGAATTTAGAGTAAAGTAATTTAACTCATTCTAAAGTGTAAAGAATACTTTGACAATGTCGAATCGATCTGTTTCAAAGATGTTTCTACATTGTGAAAATCTTTTTTTTTTTCGAAAATTATAAGACCTCAAACGCTGTCTCTGAAAATGCTGAAAGAATTTTTTGTAACGAGCAATAAGTCCACCACGATCTCATACGATTGAAGTCTTCTGCTTATGAGGGACGCGATTTTTTTTTCATCGCTATATTGAACTTTGAACATTAGACGACGAAGAATTGACGTTTTATCGTTTGACCCTGACATTAAATTATTAATAATTTAACAATTGATTTGACTATAGTTATTACTATATAGATTATCAATTATTAAATTACAAATTTTAGTGGGAATTCTAAGATAAATTCTAGGTTAGTAAAAATGTAATAATATAATAATAATAATATACCAGAATATCTTAAGAAATATTAATTCAATAGAAGAAAGGTGTAATACAAAAATCCAGATGGAAAATGTAGAAAGAGAAAAGTGCTGTTTAATTCAGTCGTGGATAAAATTATTCCCTGTTTGATTATTACGAGTGTACCGTATATGATTAAATATTTAATAGCGAGCATGTTAATTTTCAAATTCTAGATCTGAAAACTGCAATCAATTATCGTTTCTTTCTTTCCCGCAAGGAAACAAGACTGCCGTAATAGGGAATTAAGACGTATTGCTTGTCAACCTCTGGTTATAAGTTACTTCACCGAGAATAAGGTTTGAAAAATATCACGCGATAGTCAGCTTCGCCTATTTATCATTGTACGATTCGCGAATTCTTTTATTCATCGAATATTTCGTTTACATTAATTCACAGCTTTATATATTATTTATATGGTGTGTAAAAACAACTAAATTAATCAATGAATTCAATCTATAACGTTCGAATTAAATATCGGAATGAAGCTTAAAAATTCATTTTTATTTCGTCGACCGTACAAAACACCGAAAATACGTGAACGTCAAAATTAATTAACTGTCAAACGTCAGGATGTATTTCAAAAATTCATGTTTGTTTCTTCGTAGCTATTTACGAACTATTCTTAGCGCTTCGATATTGATTAAATAAATATAATACCCCAAGCCATTAATCAACGTGCTGAAAGATCGGCCTGGCAGTTTCTTTCGTTATCAAAATGAATATCAAAGCCGGTATCAAATTAAAATGCAAGTCAATTTAAAAGTATGTCGGTTTCTTTCGGTGTTGAATCAAAATGCAAACCAATTTTTTCTTTTTTTAATAACCAATTAAAATACACGTCGGTTTCTCCCAGAATCAAATCCTATCGAATTAAAATGTAGATGAATGTCTCTGATTCTAAATATTAATTACCATCGGATCAAAGTACGAGTTAGTTTCTTTCAACTGCAAATAAAAATACGATGTAAAATTCAACTTTTAATCAATCTATACACCAAATTCCTTTCGGTATCAAATTAAAGTATCAAACGAGTGTTTCTCAGTACCAGACTCGTCAAACTAACAAATTAAAAATACAAACCAGTTCGTTTCGACATCTAATCGAAATAGAAATCAGAATTTCCATTTAGTGTTAAATTAAAATACAAATGACACCCTCTTGATATCGAATCAGTTTCTTTCGACATCGGGCGAAAACGCGAATCAACCTCCATTAATATTGAATCAAACTACGAATCAATTTCTCCCAGCGGAAATCAAATCAAAATAACTGGCTACCAACGCCTGGAGTCCTCTCGCAGTCGAGTAAAAAAAAGATCAATTTCGAAAGTCGTCGAACCGGCAGGAAATAGCGAAGCCAGGGGAAGCTTCCCAGAGTCAACTGTGGTGAATTTCGTCAGCGTCGCAACCGCAGGGAACTGGTTCTATCCGGTTCGAAGTTCCGGAAGGGAATGTGTTCCTACTTCACCGAGAACAGCTGATCTCCGAGTTTTTATTTTCCAAGCACGGCCGATGGGGGCGCCATCAGTCTCGAGTAATGACTCGCTATTCCGCGCCCGCCCGGGGGATCAATTATTTTGAACCTAATGCGACAGGATAAATTGCATCCCGCGGAAGACTCTCGGTCACCTCTCTCTCGTCGTCGTGCATCCGATGGCCGAGGATAGGGACCGATTTTACGCCGTGAGGCAGAGAGACCCCGTCTTCGGGAAACAACCTCGTCGTTACTAGATGCTCGCGTCCCATCTCCGTCACTCGACAAATTGCCAATAAGCAAGTTCCCATCGATTGCTCTGTCGACGTTCTATGTATATTAAACGATGCCGGGGGTTTCGTTCGGGTTCCTCGCCATTGGGAAAACTCGTCTGCGTTCCGGAATGTCTTTTTCTTTCTTCTTTTTTTTTTTTTTTTTTTTTTTTTTTTTTTTTTTTACCCTTCTGAAAAGAAAACTCGACCGAGGGAGAGATGATTTATCGACGCACAATGTGCCGACGCGGCCTCGAAATTGCCCCCTCGGACGTTGGTCTTTCATTGTTGTTATTAAATTTTGGCTCGTTGCTTGATTCACGGGTGTTTGAGAAATTTTATTTTGTGGGCGATATGGGGTTAATGTACGTTCTTGTGCGGAGAACGAAGCAAAGTTGGAGAATTATTGTATAAGTCGCCAGGGACTTCGGAAATTGATATATCTTCTCCCGAACGAATATTTTATTAGCTCCAGTGGAATACTCCGCATATAGTCAGACTCAGAGTCTAGCAACTCTGCTCTATATATAGCAACAGAAGTCTACGTACATCTGTCAAATTTTGAATATATGCACAACAGCAGAGGACTTTTCTCTCTTCTTCCGTATAACAAGATGCAAGTGAATACATTTGTTTACTCTATTAATGAATTATACCTTCTCTCAAACGACAATTCAATAACTTCAAGTGAAATACATCGCGCACGGTCAGACATACAGTCAGTCACAGGAATCTACATGCATCTGTCCAACATCAAATATCTAAAACTGAAAGAAAAGAGTTTTGAACGAGTCGTTAATCATCAATTAATTTGTTGATTTCATAATATCGATAATATTAACAATGTTTCTTATATTGCAATGTTTCTTATATTGAAAACACGCTCTCACGGATCTATATACAATTATCATGTGAACGCGAATAAAACATTTATTCTGATTATAATTATAGTAATAACGGGAGCACAATTAGTACACTTTAACGTATACGTGATAATTATATCTAGTATCCACGATGATAGCAAATTTTGCGGTTTCATGTTTTAATTTATTAACGTTTCCTATTATTGAATAAATAACATCGCCATTTGTTCAGAATCCGTCTGTTTATTTAGAACCTTAGAATAAAATAAAAATTATACAAAATCATTTCTATTTATCTATCTGAAATTTGTTTGCAAGTGACCAATCACAAGAAATTCGTATCTTCATTGATATAATTAAAGGAAATTTAACGTAAGTAGAAATTTGTTTAATATCATAACGAGCATTTTATTATTCAATATTTCATATATTTTTGCGTATTGCGCGCAATCTCAATAATTTTTGGATGTTCAAATATCCTATAAAATCTGCGTGTATGTATATTTCAAAGTTCCAATTCGAATATCGCGAAGATCAAATTTCTGTGTCGTAAGGATCTGAATCACATCTAACAACGAAAATCTTCCCGTATTACCCTGGATGCCCTTCCTCTCTGAACAAACAATTACCACGCTTCAGGAAACAGCACGGTGCCCCATGAATTGCCGAAGACGCGTACAAAGTTTCCAAGATTATCGATGTTTTCACAGTGGCGCAATAAAGAA